CCCCCCCCCCCCCCCCCCCCGAGCTCCCTAGCCCTTCACCAGGCTTTTCTGGGCCAGGAGAGTTAGGGGCCCACGACTCAGGACCCTCCCCCTCCCCACTGGGCCTCCCTCCTGTCCCCTCCCGACACCCAAGAGGAGCAGGGCTTCAAGGCTCTGGTCCTGGGGAACCTGCATCCTGTGGGAAGTGCCTGCATGCGAGGTGGAGGGGAGGGGGGTGGGGGGAATGCAGCCCCCCACCACGTGGCTGTTACAGAAGCTGCTCAGGAGCCCAATTCAGCTAAAACCCAAACTGACGGTCCCACAAGCTGGGTGTCCTCCAAAGATGACAGTCTGGAAGCTACTTCCCGTCAAAGGGCAGGCTGACCCTTGGGGCGGGGAGGGCAAGGAGGGAGGGGTTTGGGGCTGGGGGGGAAGGTGCAGGAAGGGGGCGGGGGTTGGGGTGGAGCTGGGGGCCAGGTCAGACTGGGGACTGTGCCCCTAAGCTGGGCTATTTCCAGGCACGAGTGCCATCCTGTAATTAGGACAAGGTGAGAAAATAAACACAACGGTAGACAAGCTGGCAAACACTTCCTTCGCGCCCACAGGTGCATCGTCTGAGGGGTTATGTTCAACACACAAAGAACCTTAACAGGCACAGGGGAGCAGAACACTCGACGGCCGGCCCTCACAGTCACACCCGTCCCTGCACGGAGGCCCCGAACGCATCTGAGGTTGGTCCCACCTGCACAAGTAAGAGCTCAGTCCAGTCCTGAGGCCCCATCTGAACTCCCAAACGGGCCGGGTTCTGGGCCCGAACTGCCCCTGGTGCCCGAGGCCCCTCCCTGGGGCACACTCTGGGTGTGTCCCCTGACAGTGACCAGACCTCCGGTGACCGTAAGGGGCGGCGCTGCACTGCCATCCTCGTCAGAGCCCCGTGATCGCCCGCTGCAGACGGAGGAACCCGGCGAGTCGGCGGCCTGCTGGGCGCTAGGCCTGGGCAGCTGTCATCTTTGTCAACGGCAGGACACTACTGTTCAGAGATCTCATTTAGTTTTGCCTTTCCAGTGAAAACTATCTAAATTTTTAAATTATTAACATTTATTTATTTTTGAGAGAGACAGAGCATGAGAGGGGGAGGGTCAGAGAGAGAGGGAGACACAGAATCTGAAACAGGCCCGAGGCTCCGAGCTGTCAGCACAGAGCCCGACGCGGGGCTCGAACTCACGAACTGTGAGACGGTGACCTGAGCCGAGGTTGGATGCTCAACTGACGGAGCCCCCCAGGCGCCCAGAAGTCTTAAGGGACTAAAAAGAGCAAAGTTTGAAACATATCACACACATGCCACCCTGGGTCATCAGAAAAGTCCTTTATTCAATGATACTGCTTTGTTCCATCAGGAGAACCGCACGCGTCTTCTTACTGCCTCAGCGCACACGCCGGTGCCCAGGGCCCCGCACGGCCAGCCCCGGGCGGGAGCTCATTCACCTTCCGGGCGGGACGCCCCCGAGGCCAGCAGACCCTGCGGGAGCATGGACAGCCGTGACCCAGGGTGGACGCACACGGGAACGCGACTCCCCAGGGCTCAGGGACACTCCGCGCTCGTGCCGCACACTCACACCCGCCCCCCACACGCTTGTGCAGGCGCAGCACCTGCTCTCCGCACAGGGCACACTTGCCTGCTTGCCGTCTCTGCAGCAGCGCGGAGATGCTGATGGGCTGCCTGGGGGTGCGGCTGGGCGAGGGCCCCCCTGCTCCTGCTCGGCCTGGGGCCCGGGGCGCTGGCGCCTGCGGCGGTCCCTTGCCCGGGAAAGGCAGGGGCAGGATCCTAGGAGTAAATTCAATGACACAGTCCCCTCCCCCGCATCAGCTGCACCCCCCGGGGAGCTGGCTTCGCACAGGCCCTGCCAGGCTCCGGAGGGTTAGGGTTAGGGCGTCAGTGCCAGAAGGGTCTCTGATAAAATACGGTGCAGCCGTTAAGCGGCCCCTTTGGAGTCTAGGGCCACTGTCTACGTTACATTTTAGTTCCTAAAAAGCAAAGCACAAAGTGGTCTACACAACGTGACCCTACTCAGGACACACACACGGGTTTGAAAGCAGGACACAGAAGGTGAGTGTCAGGAAGTGCAGGGCGTCGGGCGGTGGCATCTGGGGCCCGGACGCTACCTGAGAGCCTGGGACGGGTCGCTGTGACTTGGCATCAGGCCGAGGAGCTGAGGCCCGTGGTGGGCGACGCCGCCTGTGGTGGGCAGAGTAAGAGGTGAGCGTGCGAGGCTCCAGGAGGGAAGACAAACACAGCGGGTCCTCGTCCCCCGCATCCCACACCCTCCCCCTCCCCATGGGGCAGGCGCAGCCACAGGACACACGCGGAATCCTCGGCCCCGCAGAGCCTCAGCCCTGCCCCGAGCTCTGGGCTGCAGAGGGCTCAGGAATGTCTGGAGACCTGCACTCTGCCCTGCGCGCACTGGAGGGAAAGGCATTTCCACAAGCTTCCAGCTCGGGGAGTCCTNGGGCAGGGCTGCTCGGCCCCGCAGAGCCTCAGCCCTGCCCCGAGCTCTGGGCTGCAGAGGGCTCAGGAATGTCTGGAGACCTGCACTCTGCCCTGCGCGCACTGGAGGGAAAGGCATTTCCACAAGCTTCCAGCTCGGGGAGTCCTGCAGCGCCGGGACCAGTCTCCACCCACGCTGTGGGATATTTACACTCCCGAATTTCTGCTGACATCCTCCATGCTAATAAGAAGCTTCTTTCAAAGACGTAAACAGCCCCTGGCATGCATTAGTCACAGCAGAGAGCAAATTTGAAGACGACTATTGCTTAATATCCGAGTTCTTTGCATCCAAATTTTGGAGAATTTCAACAGAAGAATGGCAAGGAAAGCAGGAAGACAGTATTCAGGCTCCCCTTGTTTCCTCTCATATGGAAGAAGCTGGATCAGAGAGGGGGAGTGCCTTTCCAGGGCCGCACAGCACCCAGTGGCCGATGGGGACCCTGTCTGTCGACCACTGGCTGTGCACAGCACTCCTGAGTCTGCAGGTGGCCCGCAGAGGCCTCCGCAGAGTGGCTGAGAAATGGGACACAAAATGACTCATTTACCTTCTGTATTTTATGATGGTGGACACCCCGGGGCCTCGCTCGTTCTGAAGAGCCCACCCCTCCCAGGGCCAGTGGACTCCTGAAGAGTGATGACCTGTCTGAGCGCCCAGAGGTGCTCCACATCACCTCTCCGCTCCCCCTAACCCCACCCCCCAAACTGCTAAAATGATCCCAAGCAGCCAGTCCCAAACCATCCTCACCACCTGCCACCCCTTTCTGTGAAGACCACGCCTCCCCTGCTCCCTCTGCCTGTGGACCCAGGGATCCCCCGGGGCCCTGGGGTGCGTGCCTGCCTCCTGCTGCGGGGGCTGCGGGTCTGCTGGCCACACACCCGTCACACAGCTCCTGGGACGTTCCGACAGTGGACACAGTGGAGATAACGGCTGTCCACAGAGGCCCCCACAGGTCCACTCACCAGGGTGTGGGGGGCGGGCACCTGCGCACGGCCGTGAGCACCACGTGACACGTGGGGTCTGAGCAGAACCCCGGGCACGCGGGCCCTGGAGCACAGGGCACGCCCGGGCACCCGCTGCAGCCCCACTGGAAACGGGCGGTCAGGCAGACGCCAGCCAGGCAAGGCCCGGAGCTCCTATGCGGGAAAGCAGCGCGGTTTAACGCGGGTCAGAAAGATTTCCATTGAAAAATGGAAGACCTTCGCTATTTAGGGAGGACAAGTTTCCTTATCCAGAACATGGAAAAACTCCTCTGCCTGTGACAGCAGACGGACAAGCCCGTGCTGACTCCTGAATGAGGCAACAACATGCCAGCAAAGCAGGCGCTGGCCTGCGGTCGCTGACGGGGAGGGACTGGGGGGCGGGGAGCCCAGGGCCTGTGCCCTGCATTGGGGGCAGCCCCTCAGCTCCCTCAGGTGTGCTCATGGGGAAGGGACCCAGGCCGCGCAGGAGCCCCGACCAGCTAGACAGAGACGTGAACCCCAGTGCGGCGAGCCCACGGGGGCAGACGGCACCCAGGTGTGGACTGGGTGGCCGCACAGTAAGGTGGGGACAGCGGGGGCGGGCAGTGCCCAGAAGGCTCCCGCACAGGAGGAGACAAGATCGTGTTGGACAAGAAGACGAGGCACGAAGAGGAAACCCACGGCGGCCCAGGGACAGCATGACTCCTCCCAGGATAGAGTGGTGGCCACGGAGCCCACGTCCAGGGAAGCGACCTTCGAGAGGCACACAGAGTGAAGACACTCAGACGTGGACAGAGACCCGGAGAAGCCATGGCCGGCTGCCCTGCCCCACGACAACAGCACTTCCGGCTGAAGGGAAAGGAGAGCGCGGTGAGTGAGCTGGAGATGGTCAAGTAAAGTGTGAAGTGTGCGTGTGCGATTCTCTCAAGATGTTTAAGAAATAGCAGCTTGTTTAAAGTAAGTAGCGCCTGGGTGGCTCAGTCAGTTGAGCTTCTGACTTTGGCTCAGGTCATGATCTCACTGTTCGTGGGTTCGAGCCCTGCGTCGTGCTCTGTGCTGACAGCTCAGAGCCTGGAGCCTGTTTCAGATTCTGTGTCTCCCTCTCTCTGACCCTCCCCTGATCATGCTGCTTCTCCCTCAGAAATAAATTTTTTAAAAAATTAAAAAACATTAAAAAACCCCAACTAGTTCCAATGCTGCACTCCTGGCTGACACAGCATGCTGTGTGTGTCCACGCAGCACACGCGGTTACATGGGACCGAGATGTCACATGGCGGGGAGGGATGTTGCGGAACCGCGTTGCTGCATCTCACCAGAGCTAAGTCGGTATTCACATCGAGCACATTATGATGTGCGCACAATCACAGAACACGCTACTAAAATATCAACAGAGGCATCAAACGTGTGTCTGAGTGGGCTTGGCCGCCCCAACACAGTACCCCAGGCCAGCGGACACGGTCCCGGAGGCTGGCTGGGGTTCTAGAAGGGCCTCTCCCTGGTCCCCCATCGGCCACCTTCTCTCTGTGCGCTCACCTCACCCCATGGAGCGCCTGAGTGGAGAGCCAGTGAGCTCCCTGGGGCCTCCTTTTCTCGTTGCGGTTTTATGGTTTTGTTGACATAAATACAACATGCTCCTCACCCTTCTTCTGGTGTCTCTTCTCATAAAGATGTCAGACCAGGGTCCCACCCAACGACCTTAGTTACTTTTTAGGGGCTCTGTCACGTGGCAGGGGGTTAGGGCTTTAATGTGAATTTTGAGGGGAAACAATCTAGCCCATAGCAAAATCATACACTATGCAATTTAATGCAAATAAAGGCAGTTAAAGAGATACAAACAACAATTCCCAAGACATATATAAAATAGCAAAATGGCAGACGTAGATCTAAACATACTGGTAACTGTTTTAACTATCAGTGGACCAAAAACTCCAGTCAAAAGGCAGAGATTACCAGAATGAATCGGGCAAGAAGGAAAACAGCTTCTAATACTGTCTGCAACAGGCACACTTTGCATTCAGACACAAATAGGTTGAAATTTTTAAAGTGGGAAAAGATATACTATGCAAACTGTCACCAACCTAAAAATTAAATGAAGAAAATCCCACCATCTAACATAATTACCGAGGCATGAATGTATCCACAAAGACAGGACCTGAACACTGACAGCCACCAAAGACCCCTGGGTAAAGAGATCCAGGGAGTGGAGAGACAGGCACGTCACGCCAATGGATTCAAAGACTCGACTATTCAGACAGCAGTTCTCCAAACTGATGTGGAGATGCAACACAATTCCCACTAAAGTCTCAGCAGGATTTTGACAAATGGATCTTGAGATTAATGTAAAAATGCAAAGGACCTAGAATAGCCAAAATTATTTTGGTAAGTTAAGAACAAAGTCAAAGGGGTTCCACTGATTTCCAAATTTCCGGTAAAGCAAAAGTAATTAAGAAGATGGTATTTTGGGAGGCGCCTGGGTGGCTCAGTTGGTTAAGTGTCTGTCTTCAGCTCAGGTCATGATCTCATGGTTCACGGGTTCGAGCCTCCGGTTGGTTTCTGTGATAACTCAGAGCCTGGAGCCTGCTTTGGATTCTGTGTCTCCCTCTGCCCCTCCCTGACTCATACTCTGCCTCTCAAAACTAAACATTAAAAAAAAACCTTAAAAGATGGTATTTTTGAAACTTTTATTTATTTTTAAGTAATCTCTACCCCCAGTATGGGGTCAAACTCATGACCCTGAGATCATGAGTTATCTGCTCTACCAACAGAGCCAGCCATGCGTCCCTAGGAACACATATTTTGATTAGTAGAAAAGAATACAAAGTCCAGAAGAATACTTTGGCAGTTACAACCGATTAACTTCAGTTTTGGACTGTTTATATGCAGAATTACAACTGACTTTTATATATGGATCTCGTATCCTACAATTTTACCAACCTTGTTTATGATCTCTAGTAGTATTCCTAAAGACCCTGATCGTTTTCTGCACACAAGGGCACACCATCCACAGTAAGACAGTCTACTCCTCTCCCCCAGACTAGGTGCCTTTCACTTCCTTCTCTGGCCTCCGTGGGCCGGCTGGAGCCCCCAGTGGATGTCAGACAGCATGATCCCTTTCAACAGCACCTGGTCAGCTGTGGGTTTTCTGCAGATGCCTTTAACTGATGAATAAGTTGCCTTTTATTACATGTTTCTTCAGTTTCTACAATGAATGACTAGAATTTTGTCAAATTATCTGTTGAAAAGATGTAATGTTTTTTAGGTCTTTTATTTCTACTAGTATACTAATTAGTCAATCTTCAGATGTCAAATAACCTTGAATTCCTTGGATAAATCCCACTTGGTGATGGCATACAATCCTTTACCTATGCTACCAGATTTGATCGCCTCATGCACTTTTAAAGAATTCTGTATCTGTATTCCTAAGGAATACTGCTCAATTATTTTTCTTGTGTTGCCTTTAGCTTTGTTAAGGTATTATTGCTAACCTTACCAAAATTGGAAAGTGTTCAGTCCCCTCCTATTTTCTGAAAGAACTCATAAAGGACATTAGCTCATTACATGTTACATAAAATTCACCTGTAAAGCTACTGGGAAATGGGCTTTTCTTTGTGGAAAGCAATTAAAATTACTAATTCAACTTCTTTACTTGATGGAGGTCTATCCAGATATACTATTTCTTCTTGAGGTAGTTTTGATCATGTCTTTATAGGAATTTATTCATTTCATGCAAG